GGCTTTGGGTGGGGATGCTGTAAAGCGCTTTGGGACGATGTAATGTTGTGATAATGCGCTATACAAAAATAAATTTGTTGTTGTTGTTGTATTTATCTCCTTGGGATTTGCCCTGTATCGCTCGTTTTAGGTTTATCGGAATATAACCCCATCGTAACCTGAGGAGCGTCTGTACTTGAAGGAAACCTCACAGTCAGCTGTCCATCAGATCAGCACATATCTCCATAAAGTGATTCAGCAGTGCTGCATATATCTGTCCCATGATACTACTGACATAAAGGCCGTAGAGGAGGATGATCCAGATATTTAGACTGTGTTAAAAGCAGCCTTCACGAGGAGGCCTGAAAGGCAGCTTTCAGAGCTTGAGGAGATCCACCATGTGTCAGTCATTGATGGTCTGTTGTGTCGGTCCATTACCTCTTCTCTCACTGGAGGCTGACATTCAAATTGTTGTCCCCTCTGCTGTCATACCAAACATCCTGTTATGGTTACATGCCGGTCTGGTCATTGCCTATATCTCATCGGAGCTTGTATGGGAGCAGGTAAGACATCAGGAACAGCTTGCCAAATATGCCGTTCTCCTGTGTCAGTGCACCGTATCGCGCATCATCGGGGGACTGACTGACAACCCACCCCTTTGAGAGAGTGGCTGAGGGGTTCATATGCCTGGACAAGTTCCCATTCATACCACTGACAAAAGAGGCTTCGGAAACATTCTGCAGCAGCTTTATAGAAAGTGTTACATACCAGGGAGAAAACATTTCTCTGATACACAGATTCTAAAGCTGTACAACAAGATAAAGTATATGCTCAACTATCTAGTAGGTGATAGATATTCTTCTACAAAAACAGTTGACTTCACTCCGCTAATTCAGGGTCAGGAAGAACAGGCAGGACAAAGAGTCCAAAATGATGAAGTTGCCTCCTGTCAGCTAGAGTATATGAAATTAGGGGAAAGCGGGTGGCAGGGGGGCTTAGAGACCAAGATAGAATAGGAGGCATAAACATGAGAGAAGCTGTGAGACTTACCCAAGAGCTACAGCGGCAGAAGAACATTAGTGCCACAGAAAAGCCACTTTCCTGGTGTTAGAGGATCCAGTCAGGTTTCCCGCTCCCTGCAAAGTTTGCCAAGCGCTGTCCGCACTGCCGTATCAAACTCTGCTTCTCAGTCAGTTTTTAATACCTTTGGCCTCTTCTGTAGCCCAAGACTATGCCACATCTCAAGTGGAGATCAACATCCCAGGCAACGTTTGAACTTTTTTTGTTCAGGAAAAGTCATTGTGGATAATAGTTCCCATTTTCAGATTCGGTTTCCCCATTGTGTCTTTCCAGATAGGCTTGCATAAATCCATTTTGCACTGCTGTGCTTATGATAAAATACCAAAATAAAACAACTTGTATGGGTTAAAAATGATTATATTGTCTTATATCCAGAAATGTAACTTTTTGTCTTCAGAGGGTCTCTAATGGCAGTTGACTAATCATTTGCCTTATAGTAAGTCCTCCCCTGTATTTCAAGGCCATTTAAGAAAAGATAAACACATGTACACGTTATGTGAGGTAAATACTAGCGCAGTTTGAGCCCCGTATTTAAATCATGCACCTGTCCGGTAACCCTATAAACGCCACGCGAATGTGACCCCGCCTATGCTTTCGCCGGTCTGCCAATTCACACGCTAGAGGGCGCCCGTACCTAACCCAGTGGGGCGTTTTCGTCCAGATCCTTCCAAATGGGTCCGTGGCTCGTACGGTGCACCTGGCTGGGTTAAGCATTTTAAACGATTTAAATAGATTTGACACCATTATACATGCATTAGCCGAAAATGTCAAAATAACTGAGATTTCACCAGAGAAGAAATAATCATCAGGTACCTGCATATGATCCGTAACTAAAAGAACAGAACATTACCACGATCCAGTCATTCCGAAACGTCCCATAAGAGCAGCCTGTCGTTGATGAGTGCAGAATTGATATTATGTTTCTAACAGAATTAAAATTTTAAACATGTCTTTAACTGCCTATGATGATTGTTCAAATGAATATTATCTTCCAGTGACAGAACTGGATTTATACAAGTGGTCTTCGTGTGTTTTGTCCCACAGTTCGCACTTCAATAAAGAAACATAATTACACTGAATAAACATTGTTAAGAAGGACTACAAACAAGCTAATAGCAAAACAGCTGGGCTCATAGATCTGGCAGCTCATGCATTGCTAAATATATCTACTATAAACCGCAGTTGTACTCGTTTCCTCTGTTTACTGGTCACACACTCTCTTCACATAGTATCCATGCAAATCACATAACAAATTTCATAATTTTGCTTTGTACTCCATTCATACTCCAGCTGCACGGTGTCACGCCTATATTCTATAACACAACAGAATCACCACAATGCAGCTTGAATTAATATTTCCATTATATGTTCTTATGGCCTTATAAAAGTCATATATTACTTGTCTAATAAAATGTCACATTTTATGCTTTTATACAGAAAGACACACACATAGAATGTGTGACCGGATTTATTTCCTAGTAGTACAGATTTATAAATTATCTATATATCTAACAAAGCAACCCAATTAAGATTCTACTTGAACCTAAACATAGTAATTCCTCAACTTAAATATGCCTCGGCCCGGATTACTAAGCAGGTCTCTTTTAGCATTAATACATCAAAAGATCATTTTGAATGCATAGTAAGTGGGTTCTATAGTTATCTAATGTATCATTAATCATGAAATATATTCTTTGATATTATCAAGAGAAGTAGTCAAAGTAACGTGCTTTGCCATCTTCAGAGACCTGCTGGAACCACCAGGTCATTGTGTTTCCTTGCTCTGCAGGAACATCTGTTGCCTTCATTCGAGTCCCTACAGATCTGTGCTTTTGCTCAATAGAGCCTGTAAAGCTGCTTGTGGCTTCAAGCAGGAGACTGATTGCACAAACATCAGAGGAGGTTCGTGGCTGAAAAGTGCCATGAGTGATATTGTGTATTAAGCAGGAGACGTATAAGACATAAGAAATTAGACTCACAACTAGTACAACCATACTTTTACAGTGATTTGGGATATAGTATGTCTTTGGATCCCATGGAGAGAGTGCTTTGAATTCAACATCTGCATGTATGACCTTTTCTGAAGATTTTTCATTATAAAAAGTACTATTTTCAAATCTTTAAAATATATCTTTGAGTGTATTTTTTTGTGAAAATTAGAAAAAAAAAGTTGTATGCACGGTTAAAGAGTTTCCTTGAATGTTGTCCTACATTCAAGTCTATAATTTTGAAACATCACTTTTTAAAAACACTCTAAAATGCTAAGGAAATTATAAAAGGTAGATAGAAAGGAATAAAAGACTTAATGCGGCCAGTTCTAATGTAATCAAACTCCTACATTTTTGGGATCGTTTCTAACCCAATACGTGTAAATACAAAGCAAAATCGTGCCAAATGTAAGTGCAAACAAGTAAGGGAAACAAAGGAGACAACTGGCACTTATTTTATGTTGTACCGCATCTGTAGTCCTGTGTGTTGCTGCCATCGTGTGGTTATGATTATGAATATCAAGCTTGCCACGACATGCATTTCTGAATTGACTGGACCTCGTGTACTATTTTGCACATAACGCTAATATTAAACACACAGACCACGTCAATAAATCCATAGAATGGAATTAACATGAGAGGCAAAGGTTTACGTTTAGTTTGAGTTCGAGTTAGTTTGAGCTTCGAATCGTACAACCAACTGTCTTAAATAGATTAGTATACAGATGAACTGGGAAACTTTTCCCAAGCATTTCAAGCCTAGGAACAAGACCAGTCTCCTGTGGGATGGGCATCGATAGAGGGCGAAAGATAAAAGATTTCCTGTTGACTTTATTTCCCCGGGATTTTACAGTCTAGATTTGCGTCCGAGGTTTAAAGAAGCTTTTCGATCATTTGCTTTTCATAGGCTTTTGTTTAAATGCATCTTGCGTGTTCTGTTATTGTTTTGTGCGCCAACAAGAACGGGAGGCACCCGAAAGACCCCCCACCCCCAACCCAAAAAGCTTTAGGAATGAAGACAAGACACATGAAGTCTACTCCATAGGCAGGACGCTGTGGAAAAAAGAAAAAAAAAACTATATTACAAAACCAGAAGAGAAGAAGAGCCGACGACTTCTGGAAAAAAATGTTAGGATTATTATAATTTCTCTGACATTTATCAATAAGCAGCACGATAAGTGGAAACAATAAGTGGAAACAAACTGAAAACAGCTGATAGCTGTAAGATCAGACCTAATCAAAATGTTATGGAATATAATAGTTTTAGTAACATTGTTGCAGCTCAGAAATAGTGAGAGCTTCCCAAACAGCAGACTTGACACCACCGATGAAGATGGTGACTCCGTCTATTTCCACAGCATGGAAGCTGAGACCTACGGCAGGAATGGGACGGAGTGTGAGCGGTGTGTGCCGCAGCAGTGCCCGGAGGCGGTGGGCTGCAGAGCCGGGCTGGTTCTGGACAGATGCGGCTGCTGTTACGAGTGCGGCAACTCGGAAGGGCAGCCGTGTGACCTGGACAACAGCAACGTCTTTTCCGGGCTCTGCGGGTCAGACCTGCGGTGTGAAATCGACATGTCGGATCTGAGATACGGGGAAGTGCTTGAGCCGCAGTGCGTGTGTGTGTTTCAGGAGGCAGTCTGCGCTTCCGACGGCAGGACTTTTATAAACCTTTGCCAGTTTAAAGATGCGGCTTATTCAAAGCCAGGGCTGCGCATCGACAGCAGCGGGCCATGTCAAACAGGTATACATCTTGTGTTCTTAAATAAGTAACAGAGTTAGTGTTTCACCGTTTCCACCACAACAACAATTACTGACGACTTGATAATACAAAATATCACGACTTACGCTGATCTTCTGATAAACCGTGTGATATATAACGTTTGTGATACAGTTTTTTGGTTGTATGTCTGCGATTCCTTTTCCTGTGGGGAAGTTCCCCTTATCAAGGTGCCGCCACACAACCGCGTGAACGTGAGCGGCAGCACCGTGATGTTCCTCTGCGAGGTCTTCGCCTTCCCCATGGCCTTGATAGAGTGGCGGAAGGATGGCAGCGACCTCATTCTACCAGGGGATGACCCTCACATCTCTGTACAGGTACAGATCACTGGACAAAACCTAGCTGAAGGACCAGCGGAAGATCATTTAATATATACCTCTGAAATTTAATAAGTTCAACGTGTGTATAATTACTTTGTTTAATACTTCTATAAATTGTAATGTTGGAAAGCATTTAATCTACATAAAAGTGCTCATGAAAATTATCGACCGGATGCCTGCAATGCAGGAAGCTGAATAGAAGGAAAACAAATTAAGTAACTGCCATTCATGTTTTTGATTCTCTGAAGCCCTGCATAAAAACGCAATATGGTAAAGATTAGTGACATAATTCGCTACACACAGGCTAGTCGAATCAGCAACAGTGTAGCCTATATGTTGTGGAATGTATGGTAATAAACTGCTTTTCCTGGTCATGTTGGTCAGTCACGCGGAGGCCCAATGAAATACGAGCTGTCCAGCTGGCTACAAATCGAGGGTGTCGTCCCAGAGGATGCAGGCATGTATCGCTGTGTGGCCCACAACCATCTGGGCAACATCTCTGCGTCTGCAGTGCTGGGAGTTCTGAGACCAGGTATGAAGGACTGGGACCATGTATGAAGGTTGTCCTGCATTTTTCATTACAGTCACACGCGATGTTTATGCAGAAGAGCAAAATTCAACTTGTGTGCACATGATGCACTATAATCTGGTGTTGCTTACAGAGTGCATAATTAGTTGCATATAGTTGAAGACGGTTAGATGGATGGATGGATGAAAAATATACTGGACTTGTAGTTGGTTCTTCTTTGGATATTATACATACCATAAAATATCAAACATTGAAATAAATATTGCATAAGAATGATTACTAATATTAGTAATAATTTTTCTTATTGTTGTTATGGTTTTCAGAGGAAGTGTCTGCATTTTCCACAGAAGACATGCCAGCGTCGTTTGCTTATGATCCACAGAGTGACTATGACGAGGACTATTACTAATGCCGTCATCTGAGTGCATATGGCAGGGGGCAAAAGCACAGTGCTGCCCGATGGAAGCCAAAGCTGCTAAGGTCTGCGCTACAGACTGTGTTTGCAGTCAGCAGCGCTTCCTGAGGTTCCCTCTGTGAACGGGACCTTAACACCAGGTCGGGCTTCCGTGCCATTGGCCTGATTCAGGAACAAAACAAAGAAGAGAAGCTTTGTTGCCACAGGCTACCGGCACAACTGGCTTTATTGCCCAATGAAGCTGAAGAAGGCCACATTTTAAGATATTTTAACAATGTGTGTTATTTTAAACAAAAGAAGAAGCAGATGTATGTTTTAAAGACATGTCCCATTTCCTCTGGGATCATATACATACATTGCAGAAAAGCTTTTGATTTTTGAGCATGTAATACTTTCCTAATTATCTAAATAACCTATTGTCAGAAAGCTATCCTGACAATGCCCTTTATGATATCCCAGACGTGTGTCACTGGAATATATTATGAATGTCTTACTGTGTCCTTTTCTAATTATTAATGTGCACTTTTAGCTTAGTGTTTTTGTTTCCATATATTGTATCTCTTTAATCTGTGGACCAAATGTGTCAGCAAGACAAGCTCAGATAGTGAAGTTTAGTCTACAGATGGTTTTAATGTTTGGCAGCACTCAAGAATCCAGCGATGAATGGTGTCCACATCATATAACAGGGAAGTTGTTGATCATTATTGCAGATGACATGTTTCTAAATCACAGATTTCCTAACTAACTCACAACTTCAGCAACCCTAACCCCCTCCCTTGCATGAACTCACTCTGCTTTTTAAGAGCCCCCCCCCCCCCCCCCCCCCCCGGAGTCTGTTTTCTCTTCTGTGTTCCTCTGCCAACATACTGCTCCTGTTTGGATATTTTTATGAAAAGATCATGAATCCCTTGAATGTGACATTTTCCAACACTACAGTAGAGTTCACTCATTAATCTAATGCATATATATTTTATTCCTTAAAACTCTTATGTGAAGTTTGGTTTTTGTTTTGTTTTAGGCACAGATGCTTAAATGTACATATAACTGAAACAATAATCTAGATTCTACTGTTGATTCTGGTATTATTGTATCTCTATGTGTGAAAATACATTTAAATAAAGTCCTCTTATGATCACATGTCCATTAAATTCCACTAAAAGTATAGTTTTTCTCCAAGTTAAAAATCTTTCATTTAGCACAAAAGCCACTATGTCAAATAAGTTAGTGTAATATAATTTCCCTAAACCTTCATTCCAAGAAACAGAAACTGATTGAATGTGTAATGTAAGACTATTAACCACAAGGAGGTTCTGTCTGAGCTTTAGTGCTAGAAACCCCTAAGCAATGCAAACTGGTAAAGTAATTAGAACCAAACAAGTATAAACCAGCCCAGCGAAATCATCTAGCCTCAGGGAACGGGCTCACAAGCAGAGAAAACAGACAGTCTTACATTCTCTCCATTTGCTTTCTGCTTGTTCGTTCCTTGGCTTTGTGTGGTGAGTTCAAAATGGGCTCCCAGGAGGACTGGAATGGTACCCTGGGTAGATTTCTGTGGAGCATCATCCCCTAAATTCAACAGAAGTTACATGTTCCCTTTTACAGCTGGCAGAATCCTGTGAAAAAGAGGATCTTCTACAGCTTCATGATCTGCTGTTTCGTGAACATGCCTCATATCGCGCACAAGGAAAAGACATTTGCTAGTAGGGAAAGGAAAGCAAAACAGTTTGTGGGAGGCAGGTCTGCAGGACTGACGACACAGAGGGACCTGAAGTGGAAAGCATGACATTGCTTGAGGAGTCGCCAGCGTGTCTAAACTGGAACCCAGTACGTCGTACTTGCAGACTGTGTCTTTAAAACTGCTTGTGAATTTTCACTCAATATGCTCGAATTGTAACGGAAAAAGGCAACATCAGAAAAGCACACGTTCACAAATATGTTGTTGGACATTTCCAACTTTAATCTCATCAAATATATTTCAAAATTTTGTTTAGCAGATCTATTAATCTGTTTTTTATGGAGACATAGACTCATTGATGATTCAGCTAACTGAATTTCTATGGATTTACCTCTGAACTTAGATATTTATAAAGTGGTTAAAAACAAACTAACAAACAGCTGTTAAATAGATCAGACACCGTACTTGGGTGTAATGGTACACAGAAGCAATTGGGGAACCTCTGTTGACCAGTCACTGTAACTGCATGCTTTACTGAATTTAGAGACTCATAACTGTGCTTGAAGTGCCTTGACTTCAGTTTCAGATACTATGGAAATTGCATCTGGTTATGAATATAGTTTGGGTGCAAAGGGAATATCTCCCTGTGCTGTAGGAACAAAAAGTTCCTAAAAGTCAAACTTAAGTACAATCTACTGTTCAAATACGAAGCACATACGGAAATTTCCACTGTAGGGGATTGATGGTTAGAGGCCTACTTTTACGCCAAGTAATTGAGGCCCACAGAGTAAACGCAACAGATGGATTTAGTGAAATAACCTTTCCTTTCAATACTGAAAGTTAAAATTGTGTTAAACTACTCAAAAATGGAGGAAAGACTGAGAACTCTCGCTTTTGAAAAAAAATGTTAATAGTTCCCTTCCCCCCTCCTCCCCCCCCACCCACCCCGGCTTTTTACTAGAGAGAGAGGAAAAGCGAAGTCTGCCAACATGTCTGTGATGTTTTTTTGACTTGTGCCCTGGGGAAAGTATTGGTAGTTATGTAGGTCCAGCTGTGAGCAGCTACTGATGGATGCCGCCCAGGGAACCAGCTGTCTCAGGTTTCTCCAGATAAACAGCTACATGAAAATGATAATTCATCAATTCAGTTTTCAGTAACTGTACATTCGGCTGGACAGGATGCTGTCCCTGGTTGCACAGTACACACCAGTCCTTCATACAGGAGCATCACTGCAATCTCTCTCTCTCCGTGACACACACACACACACACACACACACACACAGGTTTGTAATTATATCGCTGTGGGGACTCTCCATTAATTTCTGTGGATCAAACTCTAATCCCCACATGTCGACATTAAGCCCTACCCAGCCCTAACCTTAACCATAAGTAATTAAAACACAAGACTTTTGGCATTTTTAGTTTTTTGATAGCAGTCACAAATCTTTGTGGGGACCTGAAAAATAGTCCCCACAGTGTCAAAATAACAGGTTTTATCACATTGTGGGGACATTTGGTTCTGGCAATGTAATATAAACATAATCCACACACACACACACACATGCACATGCACTCACAGTTAATTTAAACCGCATGTCTTTAGAATTTTAGAGCACCCAGAATTCCTGTGCAAGAATAAACACAAAATCTAAGCCAAGTATACAGTGTGTGACCAACAATGCTGCATTAGTCCATGAGAATAACAACAAAAAGAAACAACCTGCAAGCTTAGTATTAGTTATTTGTATGCATTTTGTACATTATGAATGGCTTATGAATTAAATCTCAATGATTTAATGATTCAGTGATTGAATGAACGGCTTATCAATTAAAAATAACTTTAACATGTGAGAAAGCACTAAATCAAATACAGTCAACAATACAATCGGCCATTATAATGAATATCCAGCTTAAAACATTGCTGGGACGTTCTGAGACACACTGCATTAGAGAAGTCAAATGTATCCAAAAGTTCTATGCATTTAGATAAACTTTACAGTGATATTTCAAAAAGTTCTGATTTTAATGTTTTACTTGTGACACTTGAACAGGCTGACAAGTAATTTACAGCGGTGGCCAAAAGTTTTGAGAATGACACAAATATTCTCACAAAGTCTGCTGCCTCAGTTTTTATGATGGCAGTTTGCATGTAACTCCATAATGTTATGAAGAGTGATCAGATGAATTGCAATTAATTGCATAGTCCCTCTTTGCCATGAAAATGGACTTAATCTCAAAAAACCCATTTCCACTGCATTTCAGCCCTGCCACAAAGGACCCGCTGACATCATTTCAGCGATTCTCTCGTTAACACAGGTGAGAGTGTTGATGAGGACAAAGCTGGAGATCACTCGGTCATGCTGATTGGATGCTTTAAAAGGAGGGTGTTGCTTGAAATCATTGTTCTTATTCTGTTAACTATGGTTACCTGCAAGGAAACACAGGCAGTCATCATAGCTTTGCACAAAAAGGGCTTCACAGGCAAGGATATTGCTGGTAAGATTACACCTAAATTGACCATTTACCGGATCATCAAGAACTTCAAGGAGAGAAGTTCAATTGTTGCGAAGAAGGCTTCAGGGTGCCCAAGAAATGAATAAATAAAGAATCCATGAATAAAGAATGGTACCAAAACATCCTCTGGAGAGCAATTTTTCCCAACCATCCAAGAACAGTTTGTGGATTAACAATGCCTTTCCTGGAGCACCGTGCCATAAGGCAAAAGTGATACTGTAACTAAGTGGCTCGGGGAACAAAACATTGACATTTTGGGTCCATGGCCAGGAAACTCCTCAGACTTTAATCCCATTGAGAACTTGTGGTCAATCCTCAAGAGGCGGATGGACAAACAAAAACCCATGTATTCTGACAAACTCCAAGCATCGATTATGCAAGAATGAGCTGCCATCAGTCAGGATTTCACCCAGAAGTTGATTGACAGCATGCCAGGGCTCTTTGCATAAACTTAATGTAATTGTCAATAAAGACCTTTGACACATGAAATGCTTGTATACCACAGAAACATCTGACAATAAAGATCTACAAACACTGAAGCAGCAAACTTTGTGAAAACCAATACTTGTGTTATTCTCAAAACGTTTGGCCATGGCTGTCCAGGTCAAAATAAACCATTTGCACAGATAAAGCTGGGTGTCCTCTGAGGAACAATACATTCCAAAATTGTCATTGTGAAAATTGATGTGCATCCAATGTGAAAAAATGAAGGAGCGGAAAGTAAACTCCCATTTTTAATTTGCAGTGCATTTTAAGGACAAAAACTATATGAACAAAAGCAGTGGGACACCTGGCCATCACACCTACAGAAACTTCTGTAACATCCCATTCTAAATCCATAGGCATCAATATGAAGCTGGTCCCCCTTTGCAGCTATAACAGCTGCCACTCTTCTGGGAAGGTTTCCTACAAGATGTTGGAGTATGTCTGTGGGAATATTTGCCCATTCCTCCAGAACAGGATTTGTGAGGTCAGGCACTGATAATGGATGTGAAGGTTTGCCTCGTAATCTCCATTCTAGTTCATCCCAAAGGTCTTCGATGGGGTTGAGGTCAGGGCTCTGTGTGAGCCAGTCAAGTTATTCCACACCCAACTCACACAAAAGTTAGAAGCATAGAATTGTCCAAAATGTCACCCAACTATTTCTTTATGGACCTTGCTTTGTGCACTGGGACAGTCATGCTGGAACAGAAAACAACCTTCTCTAAACTGTTCCCACAAAGCTGGATAGAAGTGGCTATGACAGTGAGTTCTTCAGAATGACCCATTCTTTCAGAAATGTTTGTAAACCTGACTGTATGGCTAGGTGCCTGATTTTATACACCGGTGGCAATGGGCCTGAATGAAACTCCTGAATTTAATGACTGAGAGGCGTATCCCAATACTTTTGTCCATATAATGTACAGGTCAGGTCAGGTCAGTGACACAGAGCTGACCTGACCTGAGCTGTTAGCGATGGTCACCATTCCCTCTGTCTATTCTATCATGACATGTGGAGCAGGCTTGTTTTACTGCGAGTTTAACTCGCCAGTGTTGGTTTCCATGTCTCACATGACTATGTATGCCTGCTTCTGTAGAGTTCTCCCTTTCTACTTCATTGTCCCTCTTCCGGAAGCTTCTCTCTGCTGCATTATGATACAGGTGTAGTTCACAGTTACTACTATGTGTCTGTAATTGATAATATACTGTGAATTAAGAGTATACTACTACAGTTTGTTATTTGCTAAGTGACACAGTGATTTATCTTTCATAATGGTATTTATTTAATTGAAAGAATCTCCAGGTCTATCACTGTTAAATTCTATAGAAACATTTTCCATCTTTCTTGAGACAAATGATAATACTTTTGCCCGACTGAGGAAATATTTCAAGATATATGCTTATTTTATGACTAATTGGGTTCAACGGCTATTGCAAGTGGGAGTCAAGCCGACCAGAGAAGGGGAACGATAAATGAAATGTATTTGCTGATGGGAGCACATCAATCAGTAGTTCTGTTTCCATGACTGTGGGCTTGATTTTCATTCTGGGGTCTGTGTGTGTCTGTGGAATTTGTATGTTTTCGCCACGCTCACATGACTTCTTTCCAAGTACTCCGGTTTCCACCCACAGTTCAAAAACATGTGGGCCGTATAACACTGGAATTCCCAAAGTCTGCGAAAAAATTGCTGTATGCTCCAAGTGAGGAAACCCCCCCCCCCCAACCCCCACAACAGCCCGCCCCCTCTTCAATGTCGTTAACACCTTTTATTTTGCAAATGCCAGCCAGAAATCACATCTTCTACTCAAGCCGACATTGAAAAGTTTATCTACATTGAAAAGTTTACACATTAAATAAATGTGTGTTCTAAGGAATCATATAATACAGGTGTTGACATATTGTAAATTGAAGCACGGTGGAATCCCTGTATCTGCAAATATGGTAATTGCGGTTTTATTTATCTGAATATATTTGGTATAGTAAATTCTATTGACCTGTATAAATTTATTTTTCAGTTGTAAAAGTTTGTGCTAAAAGACAAATTATTCATGTGTGCTGTTGTAATTACCCTGATGTGACATAAGCGTGATATATGCATTATGAATGTGCCACAAAACTAAGAACGAAATATAGTAGATGGATGTATGTATTTATTGAGTCAATGGTATTCAGTCTACAAACTGTTCTTAGAAAATCATTGATTAGCCTTCCCCTTGAAACGTCATCACTGTAGTGATTAGTTTCAGATTAATAAAAGTTTGTATTTAGTCATTTAAAGTTGGATTTCCAGGACTATCCAGTATAATTATAGGAAGGTGCAAAATGTAAGAATAAAACAGGCACTGGAATAATGCAAATTGCTTGTACTGGATTTTTGTTTATAACACAGTTACCATAAAATTTAATGTCATTGTGAAAATGTCTACTATATAGCAGTATTCTTTCAGATATGTACAGTAGTACATCAGGGGACTGAGTTTTATTTAAATGTAACCTCATTGTTGTCATTTATTTTTTAAAATTAAAGCTAATCCTGGCGTCAGAGTCACAGTGTTTATATCCACAAGGAAAGCTCTCTGTAACATAACACAAATACCTGTTTCTGATTTTTCATAAACTTCTGAGCTAACATCCTGCATATGTCACAAAGACAAATACCAGTAAACCCTCCAGCTGCTATAAGGGGAGAAGCTGCTATAAGGGGAGAATCACTCATTTGCCATTTTTTTTCCATTAAAACTATGTTTTTTCAGTTGTACATTCTTAAGTCTTCTCTGTCAATGTTTGCAGTTAAATCCTGTTTTGGAACTAGGTAACAATTCCCATCCACATTCTGTAACTGCTTTTCCAATTCAGGGCCCAAGGGGGTCCCAAGCCGATGGGCACAGCCAAGAATGGGGGCACCAACCCATCGCAGGGCACACTCACACGCCATTCATTCAGCCACACTGGCAACTGAGTAACTCCAAGTCACCACAGCATATTTCTGGACTGTGTGGGGGGGGACTGGAGTACCCAGAGGAATCCTCACAACAACATGGGGGGAACATGCAAACTCCACACACGTAACCCCAGGTAGAGGCTTGAACCCTGATCCCAGAATTGTGAGGTAACAGGGCAAACCACTGCAACACCATGCCGCCCGAGACAAGACCTTAATTTGGGATAATAAAAGTTGTTTGATTCTGTAAACCTGACCTACCAAACATGTCATTGTAGGCCCAAGTGATTTAAAGCTGCCTTTGTTATCTCAGTAAATCGTCCAGCCTAGTAACTGTGCAAATCAAAAGACAGATATTCAGCATCTGAAACCTAACACAGTCTCAGCCTGCATTAAAACATTTTCTTTGCTTCTCTAAACCTGGCCAAGGAAATACAAGGGAAAATAGTTGTGGGTGTAATAAAAAATGATTTGAACTGGAAATCTGGTCCAAGCATCTACAATCTGCAGGCACTGATTTAAAACTCCCAGTCTGACACTAATTTAGAAAGAAACTCACCAGAAATCCATCACCCTTCACATCACTATTACTGAAAATTACTGTAATATTTTTTTCAAGATCATACAGTCAACTTCAGTTACCTGAAGTCTCAGATGGATTATACTGCAAATAAATATGGTGACCTGTTTTTTTTTTAAAAAAAGACATTCTGAATATATTTTAACAGTAGGACACTTCAATACATTGATCTAAATCACAGCCAATCTGAGATCAAGTTGTATGAAATGGTAGCATATTTAACTGCATCCTTATTGCATCCTAGAAAACACCAAGTATGGACAGAACAATAAACAAATATAAGAGAACTGCCATAGTGAGTACAGACTCTGCGCAGGGGACATGAAAACTTGACCTTTAGTTAGTGAAAATGCAGTATGTTTAGGCTGTTGGTGTCTAATGTACTACAACATAATACAAAAGTAGCAGGCTGTGCCTACATACTCAAACTTGGGGACATATGCCTGTTACTGTTGGGTGACAAAAAAACAATGGCAAAATACAGACAAGATCAAAAAGAATTCCTTAAAATATGCTACACATATTTTTCAATAGTCTGGGGGAATGACTTCCCCACCTAATCTCTTCAACATGTTCTCATTCAGCAAATGCTAAGCACAAATAAATACAAGCAAGAATCAAAAAGATAATACCACTTGGACACTGGATTTGTTTTTTTTTTTTTTTTTTTACAATTTTCCTTAGCAAAATAATGAACCAGTCTCAATTCAGTGGTACCAATTAAGTCAAAGATAATGAGAAAATATCTAAGCAATATTGTACTTTCCCGCCCTCTGGTCAATGTGTTAAGCTGAAAAAAATCTCCAAATTCACATTGTAACTGCACTAAGGGAGGCACCCTTGGGACCATACGGTGGTATCACATGAAATGCAGTGATGCTGCTCTGACTCATGGGGGCGATGTGGAGTGGAGCCAGTAGCTGCTTTGTCACAGACTGCTCTGGAGCCCATGCTCTTGGTCCTCTTTCAATATACTTTCAAGATATTAAGTCACCAGTGTTAGAAACCTACATTTTTTGTGATCTGACAGGTCGTCACACATGCTGAAGTGAGTTTTACTTTTGCAGTGTAACACATGAACAAACCCTAGCAAGCAATCGAACTGGAGCAAATAAAATCAATATAATCTTGCTTTTAGTACATTCAATACCTAAATGTACAAGTTAGTTGAGCATAGTGTATTTCAAAGGGAACAATATTTTCATCAGTTTTTCTGGTTCCGTTTCCAAAAGTGAAGAACTCAGGGGCAGACTAGCCAACGACGAATGAGTGCTGGCGGAAACCACATTAGCTGCCAACAGGAAGCCCCTGAACCTCTGAGCTGGTGATACCTCCTCCTGTTTGGAAAGAGGAAACGGCTGCAGAAAAAAGCTCGTACCATGCATACAACATTGCTACATTACAGGAGCACGTAGAGTACAAGTAAGACTTACTCTCCATCTGTGAACACTACATTCAGTAGAGGAGATTAACTGTCTTTATAAAGTAAATGTAGAGATTTGAACTAAGCTCAACACCGAGAAATAAACCGAACAGCAAGAGACAACGCTGCCTCTTCTGATACTGATGCTGCTAATGGAAAGTTAGAAGAGGAACTGTACGGTTGATCCTGACCACAGCACCAGTGCAGTGCAAATGAAATCTAAAAATAGTCATCATGTCATCCAAAGAACAAAGACAAATGTGAACTTGAGTTTTTCAAGGGGAAGAAGGTTTTCTGTTTACTAGTAGTTCCCTTTTCAGTTGTCAGCAATGACTAAGTAGAGTTTACATGCACTTATAATAAGTTTGCTCAAACTAAAGTACAGACAACCCATTGATTAATTTTAGTATCGTTCTGTAGCATTTACTAATCCTGCTAATCATGAAGTTTTATGAGCAATGGCAGAAATAATCATTTAGAAATCGTTTTGAGGAACTTGAAAAGTCCCTGGAAGTCAGAACCTTGTTATATTGTCGTTCTGTATAATGACAAAGTGACAGATGCTTTGCAAAAGGTTTTGTATCAACAATAACAAAATTTTTTTTTAAATTAATAACAGTGGAGATGACAAAATATCCCGGCACTGCAAACCATTATGAACTACAGCATTGAAACATTGTGCCATGTCATGAAGTCTCAAAATAAATTATTGTTCTGAAGCAGCCAGTCTTATGAAAAGTAAAATGGAGCATCTAGACAAACTTCAGGAAGGAGTGTGGTTTCAAAGGAAGGGCAGACGCAATAGCTTGCAAAAAGGAGCACACAGCCTTATCGCCGCGCAGCGCTCCAGAGTAAGCTGAAACAGAGGCACTTGAGCAGTGAACAGGAAGTTAAAGTGACAGGTTGCCGAAGGCCGCGGCGTCATTCGCGGATCTCGTAAGCCTGTCGGGTTCTGCAAGGCATGCAGATGGCTCAGCGCGGCCAGCAGATGACAAGGCCAGGGGAAGAAAGCCAAAGAGCCATGGAGGAGGACATCAGGAAGAGAGGCATGCTGTATGTACAGCAGCAGAGGTTCGGCAAGGTGAGATACCGGGTCTTACCGAGGCTCCGTCATTGTGCATCGTCTGGTTTTCTTGTGCTTACTAATCAGCTACATTAAGATGACGACAAGTAATCTATGAGTATGCAAATGAAATTAGACTTTGTGGAAAGTTTACTCGAAAATTTCCACTTCAAAACGGCGATTACAGTTGCTTCCTTTACTTGGGGAGGCACCACAACGCCTCCTCAAAATCAGCAAATATTTTAGGCGTGGAAAAGGAGATACTGTGTCTGATCAAGCATGACCTTGAGATATTTAGTCCGATGTACTGCATACTGACATGAAGAACGATAACATATGAAGTGAATCCAGACAGATGGGTGAAAAAAATACTTGATATCTCTAGTTTTCCATTGTTGAATGTACATCTTAATCGAAGTAACAGTCACTTGGTATATTATGATCGACAGCCAGGTAGAGCAGTTAAAGATTCATTAACTACAAATGATTTCTTTTGGCCTCTGGTTAAATGGGGGAGGGGGGGGTATATTTTTGCACAAAATAGAAGAGATTAGAAATGCTCCAATTTTACATTGGTTAGCCATATTAGTGTTAGCATGGTAGTATTTTTATACGGGCAGTAAAGACAGGCATTTGGACTTTATTCCTGTGTGGTGTAATGCTTCTCTCTGTGATATGAGGAACAAACATGGTCAAAAGCAGAGGTAACGCTCTGTTTCTGCCAGTAAATGACACACTGCTTGTCCAGTGCAAACAAAAATAGCGCTAGATCACTGAAGGCTGATATTTGGTCTAAAGAAATTTCCCTTACTATGTGACTAACAACAATATGGGCAGAAAGTCACTACACTAATATCGCAGAGTCAGGCACAAGCAACATAAGATAAACACTGCAAATATACGACCCAGACTGGCTAACTCCTCACCAAGGGATAGTCCTACCATGCACAGTTCTGGTATTCTGGCACTACCCAGCGCAATCTACGTGATTCAAAACAAATGTACAAGCTGTTCAAGTAATGGTGGAAGAGTGTCGTCATAGCACGCTGCTATGATGTATAATACTAAAAGTGTTGTAGAAGGTACAGGCTCAGAGTAACAGAAAACAGCAATATAATTCTGTAGCTAGCATAAAAACAACTAACCATCAGACATTTACAATACATGGGTAAATTTGACATGTCAGTGATGAAAGAAATGGATACAAAATGGATTCTTAGACTGACACGTGTTGTTGTACTTTGTCTGGACCAAACAGAGCTGTCTGAGAAAAGAAATAGAAATTTATTTTCTTCTATTTTTATTAGCTCTGGAAGGAAATTCTTGGCTGCTGAAACTCTCAGACTAGTGTCTAGTGATTTAAGAAGGAATGGAAAGGTGTTTGGGAGGAATCTAAAGATTCGGTTTCATGGTAACAAAGTGGCCAATATATTTTTTCAGTAATGGTATGTCTAACTAACTGATGGTTGCGTGTGATTTTTCCCTTGACTCAACTTAGAGCCTAATTCAAAAACCAATGTTAAACGCTGGTAAAAACAAGTTAAAGAAGACTAAATATAACGTACACTTTAGGAGTATGAAACCTCACTGAAAGCCAGAGCTTTCATCCAAGCCTTTATCTGAAATATCGAATGATTAATTATAATAATGTGTTGAGTGTAATGAGAAAAAGTAGTTTTTTTTTCCCAGGGATGTAAGTTAGCAATATATGCAGCAATATCAACCATTATTTACTTTGTAATAAAGGAAATCAAGCTATCTAGGAAGCTAATGAAGCGTCAGTCAGGCCTATTCTGCTTAACGAGCTGTACTCTCATCATTCCCCATGCAGAAATGGAAGAAGGTGTGGTCCATTATTTACAGAGAGAGCAGCCACTCTGTCTCCCGGATGGAGTTCTTTGAGTACAAAGACAGCGCGACATTGGCGAACGTTGAGAAGTCGGAGCGGACGGGCCGCAAGCAGGAGAACAAGAAGGTCATCAAGCTGCGCGACTGCATACGGGTGTCACAGACCGACAATGAAAGCTGCCCCAAAGACTGCAGACCCTTCCTGGTGGAGACCACAGAGAAAATCTTTCTGTTTGCGGCGGAGATCTCCGAGCTGGAGGGCTGGACCCAGGCACTGTGTGAGACAGCTTTCCCAGTACGTTTATGGCGCCTATATCTGTCTATCCGTCACGATGATATGAGCGATCAGGTCACTCATTCATTCTCAAGCACGTCACAAATGGAAATATTAACACTGCACCTTACAGATGGCAAACACATATTAAAAGAAATGTTACACTATATTTAAAAATGCCTGCATATCCCACTGGATAGGTCATTATTCATCAGACAAGAATATAGAAATATGACTGAATCAAAATATAGTAGAATTTATGGAATCCAATAGCCTTTTGTCTGTTTTTATCTTTTCATCTTGAAGCTTGGTCATTACTAGTGTGACACAAGCTGAAAAGGCAATGACTTCTGAGAAGCATGAAATGTTTAACTGCCCAAGTCAAGGTTTATTCTCCAGTCAAATCATCTTATTCTTTCATGTTTTATGTTAGTAGGGATGTCAGTTTTGCTTTAGTATGCAAGTGTTCGCGTTGCATGTATGATCTGATGTGTGTTTGTCCCTTTGTCTATACTCATTTGTTTGCTTCTGTGCTCATATATGTGGATACTATGACAGATAGATGACTTCATAAAAAATCTTTTCATTGGTCAGTTACATGTCAAACACGATCAGTAGACAGAGGACAATGGGAGTATTCAGTCTATAGTAAGACGTCAGAATTGACAAAAAGTGGACATACCAATACACATTTTTCATCGGACAACAACGATTTATTCATTCAGTTTTTATCAGTTTTTATTAAACAACTTACAGTAAAGGGAAGATTTACAATTTAATAGCCAAGCTGCTGTTTCTTATTTCCTTTTATATTGTTGGTTGCCAGTAAGACATTATCTTTGTAATCTTTGTAACTTTAATCAGCTAAGTTGACATGAGTAGACTTCATTTTAGTAAACTAAAGTGCAGAGCAACAAACATATATATGTAGTCCTTTGCATATATGTGCAGATCAATGGGATTGATCAGTGATGGGTGTCATTTTGTGTCACTTGCAGAAGAGCTGGGGTGAACCAGGAATCAAGAAGCGAGGCAGCATCATGCAGTCCAGGGGAGATGGGGCTGAAGTGGAGATGGAGGACAACACCCTCTACAGCGCACGGGACAGCGGTAGGGTCTCCCGCCAGTTGGGGGGGGGGTTGGCTGCTTTATCCTTACTAGGGTAAATAGAGAGTTTAAGCTCAGAACTACCCCCTGGTTCACCCTACTCTCTGACCCAAAGCTTTCCTCCCTTGTACGTCACTTTGGACACACTATTTATTTAGTAAAAGTGTCTATTCAAATAAATGAATAAGTTAATGCATGTAGGTAAAAGCTTCTAATCCCATCATATCATAATGGAATTCTCTCTGAGTTAATAGTCTGATGCAAGCTGAAATGTGTTCTTATGTAATGGCCTTATATATTTTTGTTCCAAACATAAGTTATTGAGTGGTGTAATACTGAAGAAGGTCAAGAGCTCCATCTTATTGCAGCCTCTACGCAGTTCACTCTGGCTCTGGTTGAGAAAGGCGTTTCCTGCTATTAATATGAACTTGGTCAGCAAAGGTCACCATAAGGAAGCTATGAAATTGAGCTGAAAGTAGCTTCAGTGCCACTACGTGCTGCACGCAAGTACATGGCTGCGCTGTATAAGGAAATGGCAGCCAGATGGAGAGAACCAGAGCCCCGGGTTTCTGGGGAGAACCTTTGGTGGCAACTGTCTCACGGCAGCAGAATGCTCCGGGATTGGTCAAAACATATCAACGGAAACTTACTCTTAGCTTTTGGTGGTTATTAAGTTCTTTACTTTTATCTATACTGAAATCTGATTCAATAATTACTTTTCTTCTCTCAGTAGACTTTTTTACTTTCTTTGTGGAACCTTCCACTCTAACAGCAGCTCTGGCAAGGTGACTTGTGTCATGCGTCCACGCAGTGTGCTATGTGACACTGAGAGTATACAATCATTTGCAAACAGTTGCAGCCAATGTAACGCTTGCTTCTTAATGCTTTGCAGGCACACAATTTATGAACACGTAAATCTACTTTTATGGGGGCCTGTAATTGTAAAACAAAATGGCCTGACTGGTTTCAGCAAAGGGCAAAAGGCCTAATTCAGTTCTCCTTTTTTATATTTTGCACACTGCAATGGAAAGTTCTTCTTGTCTGTGGCTTATTTTTCCTGTCTTGTAACTGAGAAAGATCACACCAGTTCCCGCTTCACTGTACAAACTGAACATTTATAATGCAAAAATTAACAGACACTACTTATGGACCATTACTGTTCTTTTGAATAACGTAATCTGAGTTCAGTCTGTTGTAAAAGCTCTTTTTAATTATGGTGTTTGTCTCCGACAAAGCCTGTTTGTGTTCTTTTATGTCACACTTTGGCTAACGTGGACTTTAAATGCCAAAAAGTGAATACAGAGCTTTAAAAATAGAAATTGCAATGCAGCTTAATTTAGAATGTGAATATCTCCGTACTTACATGCGCAGTTGTATCACATATGCTTCGCTGCCGCCCTGAAAGGTATCGAAAGGTGAAGGATAATTATGAAGACAGTTGCTTAAATTGAGCTCTGTATTCTTATACTCTGTCAGACCATGAGTTATTCATAATTGCACTGCTGTCAGGTTGGTGTGTCTATCAAAATAGCTCCATGTTCCACTGTTACACAAAAATATTTTCTTTTGCCTGACAGCATGCACTGCATAAATACAACTGATTTGAAAGCATGTCAAGAAAATTTAACTGAACTCTTTCAATGGCGTTTTGCTTGAAAAAGCATGTGCACAATGAACGCACAAAAAAGTCAATCAAACGTTTGCAGTTCGGCTACCGCAATTGTCAACTGGCAACTCTGCTCGACAGACATGGAGCTGTGTGCTACTCGAAAATTCATTAGCCAGCCATAGCAAATGAAAAACAGTTTATTCTTCTGCTAGTGGTATCCAATCACAATCGACCCTCGGTGCAGATGTGGACCATGATATGACTGGTAAGACTCAATACACATAAGGGCACCTAAACACCCATTTCAGAAAGTGTCTTAATATAATAATGCAGAAACATTTGCGAGAATACTTTAACATTGTAGCTCATTTGTCTCTCGTGGTGAGCACAAGTAAATCTTTCCATTTCAGTCATTCTGTCCTATTTTATTGTGAGAACAGAGTGGTTTGAGCTTTTGAGCATCTATAAGATGGTTACAGGCATCACCCAGCTATTTAGTATTGGAATTGCTACTATCATTCTGATAACGTGCAATTATCACTAATCAGAAACCAATACAGACAGGTCAAGAAAAAAACACCTCAACCATATGCATAATTAAAAGAAATAAATAAAAAAGTTAAATGAAAAGTTCTCTGCAATATAAAAAGATATACTTTGATACTATTTTAGGGTAATACTTTTTACTAGCTATAGTGCTAAAATTAGCTGTCTGAAGGATCTACCTATGTAAATGAGACAGCAACGAGCACACATTTCCTGGTCAAAAAATAGCTATCTGTCATGTGTCTTTGTATTGGAGAGCCGAAGCCAAACGGAAGCGTGAAACCATCTTTGTGGGGCTGTTCGCTTGGGTAGCTATGCTTCATGGTGAGGTGAATGGTAGGTGCATCAGAATAACCATATGACATAATCGAAAACAATTCAACCATGAAATATTTGTGGGCTTTAAGGGAGGGCCAGTTGACACCATTAATATATTCTGAATGTAGTTTTCGGGACATTTGGCTTTAATCTTCTCAACGGCGTACAGTTAACGGAACATTGACATTATTTCAAAAGTTGCTTAGTATGCATTTTTGGAATTTTAATTATGAGCTTCCTGGAATTGTGCTTGAAACTGAATACAATCAAAATTGCAAATGGTGATGAATTTATGGCGTTAATCAACTGATAACAGGATGTCTATACTCAGTGTAGACTTTTTTTGGAGAAGTTCACTGCATTGTTGAGTGAAAATCATGTAGAGGGCTGATGGAATGTTTTATGTCTAAATTAATCAAAATCCTAAGAGGACAATATATAAATTTTTTTAAACATGTGATTAAATAAATTATTTTTCCCAGTTGTTTTTGTGTAGGCAATATCACTTTATAATGGTTATGAAGTGTTGAGTCAAAATTAGTCATTGTTGCTTGACACAACAAAAGAAGTTGGCGAATGTCTAGTATCCTGCCTTTCTCCTTGTCAGTACTACCAAACATGGTACTAATTATTGACAAAAGCTTGACCAAAGCAAACAACCAGTTGTGTTGTTTTCCAAACACTTTTTTCCCATAGGTGCAATAGTTAATGAGAGCACCACAGATATAAGAGTTACTGAGAACTGTTTTCATTAAAGATGTCTGGCAGTCACATGACCTTGTTGGCAAACTGCAGACATATATAAAACTAAGAAGAGGCCTCTCAACAACAGAACTTCCTGTTTCTCTGCCTTGCGCACACGAAAAGGCAAGTCGAATATAGACCAGTTCAAGGAAGAGAGCTTACAACATATTTGCCCTAAAAACAAAGCACTGCTTGTCCTTGTGTTCTAAAAGAAAAAACAAGAAAAACAAAGCAGAAACCCAGCACCTGTTTAAGCCATAACCCAGTAGCAGAGAAACAAAACCACACATGGAAATCACCAAGTCTATTTTCTGCACAACATGCTTCAATAATAGCGTTTCAGTTCAGGAAGGAAATGGGCTTCTCTTTCTTTCTTTTTGTCTGTTGAGGGATTGACTTAGAGATGATATCAAGACATGCAGCTGCTGGAGGGAGCTGTTCTTATGCATGCTCAGCAGCTCCACTCTTGTGGCAACGTGCCTGTGGTTTCCGTACCCACATTTTACATGCTTATTAACTGCTCCTAAACCACGACGCCACTACAGGTGCAGCTGGATGAGGGGCACAGTTTCATAATGCTCACAGCATTATAAATTTTGTCACTGCAGTGCGATGCCAATGATTGAGGATGGTCCCTGAATACCCTGGACCCTTTGATGGAGTTAGATGAACTTTAAAGGCTGGGGAATTCTTCCTCATTCCTTTATAGGTTCCGGATTGCTTAGATTTCCTGGGACTTTCTAGATACCACCATAAATAAATATATAGCTTCCCTTGCCATCCGTGACATGTCTTGCAAAATGTGTTATGCAAATTAATATCTTTTGGAAGTTGTTCCAATAGCAAAAGCTTGTTCACTTTACATAATGAGAAAATCTATAATAGTAAACTGAGTCTTTGATAGGTTGTGGGATTGATTTCATAATGTTTACAAGGAGAGCTCAAAAACACTGTAAATGTGTTTATAACGTCCATAGTTATACTTTTCAATGCCACTGAAAACCTCCAAAATTAAAGCATAACATGACATATTTGGACGTGTTTGAGCAAGGGCAATATTTTTTGACTTTTTAAAAATGTGAAATTTGCTTATGACCCTGAACAGGATAAGCAGTTCAAATATGATTGGATGGATGGATGGATGGATGGACTGATGGATGGATGGATGGATGGAATGGTGGATTAAATTTATTTTGCTTGCAATGCCAAAGATAATAATTACATGATCAATTATATGATCAATCTCTCAACGACTTATATTCAATTAGCATTATGTAGTCAAACGTTTGATTAGTAGTAAATTAAATATTTCTGATAATTTGCCTAGTTATTTGATAATATAATATATAAAAGTTCACTTATATAATAACTGTCTACAACCATTATTTTTCATTTAAATAAGGGGTATAACCTTTAACATCTAACATTTGTCTTGAAAATGTTTCATAAAGGCAAGTCAAATGTCGTGCCTTCTTAAACCTCATATATTTATACTTCATTCAGCTGAAAGACAGAAAAAAACATTTAAAATTTAGGTGGACAGGGGATTCTTTTATAGGGGATTCTTTTATAATGAAAATCCACAAAACATATGAAGACTGCTGAATAGCGAACAGTGTTCGTGCGAGGAGAAGTAGCATTTTTGATATTGTGTAATGTTTTCAATTACAGCAACAGGTCATGATGTCACGGGTGGACCCTTTTTAGCTATATATATATGTTATTATCTGTGACTTCCAAAAAAGTAGAATATAATTTCTTGCCTTCCAAACAGATGTCTTTTGCAGAGCTGACTATGGCTTCTGCATGTGCTGTGGGTTATATGAACAGCAGCCTAGTTTTCCTAGTCTTAAAGGGAACATGTTTTGCAGTACATCTTGCGAGCAGTAGCTGTGTGACCCAGATCCAAAAACAATGTTTCAAATACGAAAGACATTTTTCATATGTCATAGTGAACTTTCAGTTGGTGGACATTAATGATCTTTCGTTTGCAAATATTAGTTTTTTTGTAGTAGCTTTAATTTAAAGTAGTTTGTCAATATGCCAGTTTTTATAGCTGGATTTTATTGTAGCACTTCTGGTTAAGTACCTTGCATCACAAATCTCCCTGGGAATATATTATGTGATCTTTGAGTTAGAGGTCTAAATCCTTTACCAATGTGCTGTATTCTATTTTTCAAAAATAGAAAATGGATGTAAGACTTATGCTCATTCCTCTCATTTTGCCCACTGTGAAATATGTGGTTACTGATATAGCATTTATTTTGAAAGGCATGATTTTTGAATGTGAGTTTTCTTTGGTCCCCTGCTAGTGATGAAGGACTTTAAGGTGACAATAAGGAAGACAGAGGTCTCTGAAAAATGTCGGTTGCGTGGGACCTACACTCTGCGGACCGATTTTGACAGCCTTCTGCTCAAAGATGTGAAGTCTGGGGAGGTGATCTTCACCTGGCCTTACCGATTCCTAAGGAGGTTTGGGCGGGACAAGGTGAATTACAAACTGAGAAAAAATATTTTTTATTGTTTTATATGAATAAATTTGAATGGAACGACTTTTTTGTGCCTCTTACTCTGTGCCCCATGTAACTGCTAAAAAGATTTCCTCTGGGGTAGTAATATATGCCTTGTACTTGTACAGTATGGATAAGGACATAAGATCCCTGAAGGCTAATTTTTTCCCATTTTGTTTAGGTGACTTTCTCCTTTGAAGCAGGGCGCCGATGTGACTCAGGGGAGGGCAACTTTGAGTTTGAGACCAAGCAGGGAAATATTCTCTTCCAGGCTGTGGATAGAGCCATTAACCTTCAGAAAAGCAACATGGCCCCCCAGCGTCAAGCTTCAGGAGGAGTGGATGTTGTCCTGGACAATGGCACTACTTATAGCACAGTCAATGACATCCAGCCCAGAGAGTGCCCCCCCCCATCACAAGGTTCCCGCTCTCGGCTAGAGCTGCCCGCCGACAAGATGCTCACTGGGGTTAAGAGTCTGAATCTTGACACCAGACCACCTCCCCACAAGAACCAGGTGAAGAGCATCTCAAGTTGCCCATTGCTCAATAGTGAGGACTCAACCTACTCCCAGATCTCCATGCCCCGGGAACAGGGGGAGCGAGTGGAGAGGGCACAGGAGATGCCCTCCTCTAAGCCTGTCTCGCAGGACTCAGAGTATTCCCTTCCATTTGATGCCATTGCCAAGAATCTGAGCACTTTGCTTGCTGCTTCCCATTCATTCAAAATGGAGGATGAGGGTTGTAGGGAGACCTCTGTAGATGGAGAAGAACATTCAGATCCCTTGTATGACTCTATTGATGAGTCAGCCATTAGGTCAGCCATCCGGAACAAGGGTACAAAGAAGTCGACATATACGAAGGCAGAACACATTTATGATGAGCCAGAAGGTTGTGCTGTAGAAGTTATTGCTGCCAGGGACCCCCTGTCCTTCTATGATAACCCAGAGGAGTTCAAAGGTCATGCTTGGAAATATAAGGGCTCTGCAGACCCAAGTGGCCATGAGTATCCATACAACCCCAACATTGATGACTATGCTGTGCCCCAACCACCAAGGAAAGCTCTGCCTGTGAATGAAGAGGACTCTCCATACGATAATGTAATGGTGAAAAAGACTTAAAGGGGGAACAGATAATCTCACACCCAAAACCACATTAAGTTTTGAAATCTTCCACAATTTTTGCAAGAAACTGCAAAAATTTCAACAACTATGAACTTCGATACAAGTACATATGTTGCAGACGTCTAGCATATGCTAGCTTTGCCTGTCCCACCTGTCTCACATGCCTCACTTATTTGTAACTGAAGGATAGCAACCTACAGAATAAGAGTAGATAATTATAAGCAAAATAAATGTGACAGATTTTTTTTTTCCTCAGCTTTAATAGATTTATTGTTTTGTAAAACATTTTAGTAAAACCCTCATTCACAAACAGCCTCTTCAGAGTCACTGTGGCAATCGCTCTGCTTGCTCCATGGGAAGAGAATGCTTCTTCACAGATGGATACAGATTTTTTTATTATAAAGTAATATATTTTTTAGGAAAACGTAAAGACATTGACCAATATCTGAAAGCTACAATGTATTGTGCAGGAAAGGTTTAGGGCCAGTGTTTAATATCAGTAATACATTTTGAAAAATACAAAATTTGGGATGTCGTGTAAAATGTAAATAAAAAACAGAATGTCATGATTTGCAAACATATAAACCCATATTTAATTACAAATAGGGCAAAGACAATATATCAAAAATTGAAATTGAGGAATTATATTGTTTTATGACAAATATATGGGCAGCTTTTTTGGCAATGGAGTTGTAGGCTAATGCACATCAGCTATGTCATTATCAATAGAAATTACAGCTGAAAGGCTGATATTCAAGGAAAGGGACCCTGATGTCTTCATTGGTCGGTACCTCTACCATATAGAAAATGAAGATGTCACAATGCCCTATTTGTTCTTTTAATCCTGACACTCCAGCCTTGTCCCTCCTGTATGGTCCTTCACCAAGGCCGGCTCCTTGCTGTGCCTCTCCTCAAAAGGAATGGATATACAAACAATGAAATCCACTGCGTACGCACCCACTCTGAAGGGATCTTTTCAGCATGTGCCATGCATTCTGATATTTTGGAGAGGATGGTAACGCGGCCGGCACAGGGGGCTGTGATTCCGATTCTGTCTCCCTCTCTTATGCAATGGAGCCCCCACCTAACAGACACAGCATGCAGTTTGCAGAGTCTATAAATCTGGAGTGGGCAGTGAGAGTGCAGACTGAGTAGAAATGACTGTGGCTTTGCTGAATGCTGCCTTCTTTGGCACAAATGTGTTTACCCTGCACTCTGTGTAGACACGTTGCCCCTTTGGGTGGCCTGGTAACTCTAGTGTCAAACATTACACACAGAATACTACAACAATTAAGAGAGGATCCTTGAAAACCGTGTAAATGATTCACGAACGCAGGGAGCCAGTGTAATAAATCACTCAGAAACACAATCTAAATGCAAATACAAATGTTTAAAAATTCAAATAAATCAGCTCAAGCAAACCTCAGCTGAACCATTGATAGATGGGGAAAATAGAGATCAGCAGAAAGGATTAAAAAAAACAGGCTGTTGAGCTGAATGTGTTTCATCGTGACACTTGTGATTCACAGTTATTCCGAACTGTTTCTTTCCCTTGCTGGTTCCTCATTTCATGTTTGTGTAATATGTGCAATAGTGTGTAATGTGTGTAAATATATTGCAATAAGGTCATCAGCAGAGCTGCCTGAAGGTGAGATAATAAAAGCAATATTTAAATGCACAGAATTACTTGTCAGCTTCACTTTGTGATTTAAGAAAATGAACATCTACCCACACCTTTCAGATGCAAACATTTAGGAAAAGGGGTAGACATATACACCATATTGTCAAAAGTATTGGGACACGCCTCTTAATCATTGAATTCAGGTGATTCATTCAAACCCATTGCCACAGGTGTATAAAATAAAGCACTTAACCATGCAGTCAGGTTTACAAATATTTGTGAAAGAACTTGGTGATTCGGATGAGTTTAGCGAAATCAAGCTTGGCACTGTCATAGGATGCCACCATTGCAATAAGTCAGATTTTGAAATTTCTTCCCTGCTATATATTGCACAGTCAACTGTAAGTGGTATTACTGCAAAACAAGAGTTTCGGAACAGCATAAACTCAACCACAAAGTGACAGACCGTGGAAAATAATAGAGCTGGGCTGTAGAGTGCTGAGGCGCACAGTGCATAAAAGTCGCCAATGATAGAAGTTCCAAACTTCCTCTGGCATTATCTCCAGCACAAAGATGGTGCACCGGGGTTTTATGGAATGGGCTTCCATGGCCGAATAGTTGCATGCACGCCTCACATCATCAAACGCAATGCCAAGCGTTGGATGGAGTGATGTAAAGCACGCTGCTACTGGATTTTGGACTAGTGGAATCGTGTTCTGTTGAGTGACGAATCACGCTTCTCTGTCTGGAAATCTGATGGATGAGACGGATGCCAGGAGAACATTACCTGTCTGACTGCTTTGTGCAAACTGTAAAGTTTGGTGGAGGAGGGATAATGGTATGGGGTTGTTTTTCAGGGGTTGTCCGGGTGTCCCAATACTTTTGTACATATATATGGTGTATATATAATTCCAAAATATCTTGTTTATCGTATCTTATGCTAATAACCCATGATTAGACACATTTCTATATCTTTACGTTTCTTATGCAGCTTTACTCATGATAAAGGTACAGGGGCACAAAAAAAACACAGAATTCACAGATTATCTGAAGGTTCATAGCAGTTTTTCCAGATCTATGAAATGCATGCTATTGCACACCAGGGGGCAGTGACATTCTTTGAAGAGCACAAGCTTCTCAGAATAAGCTTTAGCAGAAAAATCCTTGGCCAGAAATATATTACAAAACATTCCAAGCTGCAAGAATGTTAAGCACGGCTATTACGTTATTCCATGCATTTAGTTCTTAATATGTAACGTTTACCATTTTAGTGTTCGAGGAAGATATATTTCTATTCTTTTAAAACTATTCATACTAAAAATTTAAATTTAGCAAAATGCAGGTTTTAGAGAAATGTAATAGCACAAATATCCTCTCTCACCTTCAAACACACACAGGTATTTTGCTTAAAAGATATAAACCAACAGGTAATATATTTACAATCATAAAATTAATGTCAAATACTCATTTATCAGTCAGGTCAGACCCTGACTCTATTTTCTATTCTCAGCTCTGACTTATCTGAGTACTTATTCAACTCGTAAAAGAGTTGAAGACAGATGTTCTTCCACTGAGGTGGCGGCCACACCTGAAGAGACCTCCGTACCATGTGATACTCGTGCCAGTCTGTCAGTCTGTCATGTGAGCTCAGCACGAGCTGCAGGCTGATGCGTGTGTTGATGTCCACTGTCCCTGCATGTGAGTGTGAGCATGTGTGCGCTTGCTGCTCTGAAATGTCTCCTCACTGACATTCAAAAATGGAATTATTGTTCAAGTTACGGAAGAAAATAGCAGCAAGTTGCACATTTGAAACACATACAGGTTGAGAATTTGTATTTGGGGCAACGTAAGGGCCAGCGCATGGGTGAAGGCTCTGTGCCTGTGATCAGAAGGTTGTCAGGTCAAATCCCATGGTTGGCAGAGTGCTGTCACAATTGGTCCCTTGAGCAGGGCCGTTAATTCCAATCGATCCAGGGACTGGTTGTTGCTTTGGACAAACACACCTGCCAAGTAGATGTAATATTAATATTATTCTCAGTAACACATCGGAATTGTGATTCCATTTCTTTTTCACTGTAACGCAGTGGTAATGTCCAGAAAAGCACCACGTGATTGGATATTCAAACCGAAGACAGGAGTTTATTAACAGCATGCTGCCCATGGTTCCTCTCATTTTAAACATTACGCAATCACCAGACAGATGACACATGACAATGAGATATATGTCTACAAACATTTATAAATCTTTGTGTCGGGGTCCCCCCACTGCCACAAACCCCTGCTGTTGCACCAACCACAAGAATGGCCCACCACCTCCCACTGTGAGACCACAGCTGAATGAGGGGAAGCCTCCACCCTGGGAACTCAGCCCTAGCTATGTCACACAGCCACACGGAGTAGACCTGTGATCGGTGAAGATACGTGAACCAGAAGGAGTCTTGTTCTATGGGAGTCAGGTTCAATATGGATCGATACCATGCTTTTGTGATCTATTATTCATCACACAATGTAGCCATGTTCCGCAAGTCCCTCTATACCAAGCACAACTTTACTTTTCCCAGTTACATAATGTTAACAAGATCTCAGTCAAAGGCACTGGGCCCAGTGAATGAAAATAGCTGGACATTAGTGGTTAAACCTTTCATCCACACAATTTGTTAAATCGGCTTGCACTCGCATTTTATCACCCTAAGATAACGCTTCAGAAGCTGTGCCTTAGAAATGAGGAGCGGCAAAAAAATGCTGCCTTCTTGCTATGAGTGGTAGCCAAAAAGATATCAGGGAGGTGTAATGTCGGCGAGTGTTGACAGCAAGACAGAACCCAGATCTTCACAATGCACCCCCATTGGGGAACTTTATTAGGGGTACAGGCAGTACAGGATGGGAGACAGCCAACACGAACGGGGGATAATGTTCAGGACGGGGCGGCATTTATATACTCAACTAATAAGGAGGAGACAAGGGCCAGGCATGGGCAGTTTAATATTACTGGCTACGTAGGGACAGGAGAACCAGCAGCGCCACCTGATGGCCCTCACAGGAATAGGATAGGGCAGGCCGGAGCGCCACCTGATGGCCCTCACAGGAATAGGATAGGGCAGGCCGGAGCGCCACCTGATGGCCCTTACAGGAATAGGATAGGGCAGGCCGGAGCGCCACCTGATGGCCCTCACTGGAATAGGATAGGGCAGGCCGGGAGTGGACCATTTACATTTACATTTACTGCATTTGGCAGACGCCCTTAGCCAAAGTGACGTACATAAGTGCTTAGAGGTCTCATCAGTGACAGGAGGTGGTTTAGTTTATTTGGTTTAACTATCAGTAATATATCAGTGGTGTGATACTAATACTGTTTTTTCCAGGTTCCAAACAATACGAGCAATTACATTATCCATCCATCTTCTATACCACCTGCTCAGTTCAACATCATGGTAAAATTACATTATGTTCTTACATTACATTACAAAGTGTGGGCCACATTTCCTAGTTAGATATCATGATCAATAATAATTTTATAATTCACACTAATCGTGAATCTTATTGTCCAAACACTTAATGGCTGCTTTTTTTAAGTTGCTGAATTTACTACGTTTTATTTTTTATTATTTTAAAATGGCCTCTATTGAATCTTGCTATTTTTCTGGATAAATAAGTTTGGAATGAAAAAGTAGAATTTTTCTTAAGAAAGACTATGTTGAATAATACTGTTACCCACAATCATCCCACTGTCTTGTGATTTGCCCAGTTTCTAAGTGTGTCACTATGGCAAGTGATATAATTTCCCCATGAGATATATCATGTTAATGATATTTCACCATTCAGAAATTAACTATACTGTGGAAACAGCAATCAAATAAATCCAGGAGCTAAAGAAATTGAGGTCTTCTTGGATTACAATATATGACAGACCTCATTACATAGGTGTTACATTAACTTACAAAGAAATGAAACAAAATAAGAATGCCAGATGCTTTATTTATGACACTGCATCAACATAACTATTATACCACCAGTTATTATTCCAAGGCTTGCATGGCCCATAAACTCAAATTCAACCATTATTGGGTTGTTTTTTTATTATGAACAGTTCATAAAATTTTGTCTATACATTAACGCGCAACTGACTTTTAGGTAAGATGTTGTAGCTTCTTGTAAATTATTTGTGTGGGATAATTTAAATAGCTATCTATGTAATAGATATTACAGAACACATGAGAGCAATGTTGTCCTCTTGGCCCACAGAATTTCAGCATAATCGCCATCACGCACTAAGGGCATCTTAGAGTCACTAATGCACCTAACTGAATGTTGATGGGATATGAGAGGAAACCACAGAACTCAAAGGAAGTCCATGCAACAAAGAGAGATCATGCCCACTCCATACACAGATGGTAATCAAATTTAGGTTGATTAACCATAACATTAAAACCACTTGCCTAATATTGGTCCAACCATCTTCCCACAGTGCATCCTGGTACCATCTCTTCCCCAGGTAAGCGATGCATATGCACCCGACCACATGATGTAACAGAAAACGTGACTCATCAGACCAGGTCATCTTCTTCTATTGCTCCATGGTCCAATTCTGATGCTCAAATGTCCGTTGTAGGTCCATTTGCCAGGGGGCAGCATGGGCACTCTGACTGGTCTGCGCCTAACCAGCCCCATACACAAAAGGCTGCAATCCACTGTGTGTTCTGACACTTTTCTATGAATCACCATTAAACCATGAATCAGCATTAACGTTCCCAGCAATTTGTGCTACAGTAGCTTTCCCATGGGACTGAGCCAGACGGGTCTTTGCCCCCCACGGGCATCAGAGAGCCTTGCACGCCCATGACCCCCTCTCCACTTTCTGTGGATACTGACCACTGCATACTGGGAACACTCCACAAGACCTGCCATTTTGGAGATGATCTAACCCAGTCATCTACCCTTCACAATTTGCCCTTTGTCAAAGTCGCTCAGATCCTAATGCTTGTCCATTTTTCCTGCTTCCAACACTTTCAACTTCAAGAACTGACTGTTCACTTGCCTGTTATATAATGACAAGCTTTACAGG